GGGAGAGAGAGCACCCCCCTGTTTACACTCCTCTCCATTCACTAAGTAGTACTAGACTAACAGTAACCCCCATCAGGTGAGAGAGTAGAGTATAGAGTCTGATAGAGCCAGGTATATACCAATAACATTCTACATTCTCTATACGAAACACACTAAGCTTCCTAAACACAGATCAACGATTTCACTTCACATGATTAATATTCCACACCATCAACAAATCTCTACCTTAATGTCCGTTAGTTTAATAACTTTTTTTTACAGATGTCTTCTTAAAGTCATAAATAATATCTGGAACTTGCACCTGGCACACTTTATAAGAGAAATGTTCCACAATCTAGATATCATGCTATTCTCGATCTAATCACGTTGCACATGGATCAAGAAACGCGTATTTAGAGTTTGTTTCCTCGAGGGTGTAAAAAATCCAACCCTGACATCTGTTATAAATTCAGGTGCCGATTCAAATTCAGAAACTATTTTAGAACAACACCAACTGTTAAAAAAATTATATCATAATTCACCCCACATGTTGCTTTGACATGATATTCAACGTTACAAAAGGGCACTGAGTTTTATATGTAACTGAAACATGTGTATCCTATATTTTTCTTTGATTTCTACAAACAATACATGATTATATAATTGTTTAATTTGAGGAATTAACTTCCAATCCACTATAATTAAAATATTCTAATTAATTTTCCCTCATTCAGTCTAAAAAAGGGAAAAAGTTTGGTCTTATTTTAATTAGACTGTCCCTCATTAATATTAGAATATAAAAATTATCAATTAAAATTTCACTTATTAGTAGTATATTATAAAATGCAAAAATTGTTTTTGTTTATTTTGTGTTTTCTTAAAGATTCTTTTTTTTTTTTTCTGAAGACTTTAAATCTTAATTCATGTTATAATCATTTGTTATGAAATTCATTTTGAAATTTATTTTACCAAAATCATTGGAATTGGAAAAATATTGGCGTACTGGTATATCAGATTTCTGTCAAAGTTTAAAGAAATAAGTAATGTTTATATTGAAGTAATTGAATAATAAATGCCATATTTACCGTGTAATAACACCATAATAACCTACCAATATACTTACTATACAACTAGGGTATATTACTGGTATATTGGTACAGATTTGTTGCACTTTGTAACACTTATTAATGATCTTAGAGTATATGACTAGTTAAGCCCTAGAATAACTATATAGATTCATGGAACAACAATCATTGGTTAAAGTTGTTTGCAATGTTCTGACTTTTCTATCATCCTCAGGAACATAATGATCGCAGGTCATAGACAAAACAATTGGATACTAGTTTAACCCTAGAATAATAATATAGATAGGCACAACATCACTGGTTAAAGTTGTTTGCAATGTTCTGACTTTTCTATCATCCTCAGGAACATAATGATCGCAGGTCATAGACAAAACTAGTTTAACCCTAGAATCAATAATATATATAGGCACAACTTTATGGAACAACAATCACTGGTTAAAGTTGTTTGCAATGTTTGACTGTTTCTCCTGTTGTCCTAAGGAAATTAATAATCGCAAGTCATAGACAAAATATACAAACAATCGGATACTAGTATAACCCTAGAATAGTTGCACTTTGTAACATTTAATATTGGTCTGAGTATATAATAATACTATTTATTTATCATTTGGAATTTCACAAAGCTAATCCTTCTGCCTGCTCCTTTATAACACATTGGAGATCCTCCCACCAATATTGAAAAACAATACTCTAAGAGATGTCCATATTTCTGTATCGAAGGCAGATTAAAAAGTTCTGTATATCCACATGTCCATGATAATAATAATCTATCTTTAAGTATCAATTTATCATATAATTTTAATTAAGTCTTGGGTACATCCTTACAGAGACAATTTATCACCATTCTGTCAGTGATAATACAGACTTGATACAGACAGGTAATTAATGTGTCTTTTCTGATTTTCTATTAAATTCAATGGAAACTCTTTTCAAAACATATTATACATGAAAATACACAAGTAAAACAATGGATCATCTCTTGTTTTATATATTAAATCATTCAATTTAGTCTAAACAACACTAAAACTATTTTTCAAAGTAATTGTCCATGAAATGACAAAAGTATAGCATAGTTCGGAAATGATTAAATCATGGTTGATATCTGTTGTAAATCGTTAAATTTAGTCAAAATCAACACTAAAACTGATTCTCAAAATAATTGTCCATGAAATGCCCAAAGTATCACATTGGACCTAGATGAACAAAACTGTCCTCAAATTATAATTCCTATGCTTTCAAAAGTACAATAATGGATTGCATCTTGTTAATAACTCTGTAATATATTTATGTATATGTTTGAAATCATGCCCAATCATCTGGAAAAAAATGCACTTGAAAAAATCATCAGTTAAAAGAGATTATAAAGTGATTGTAAAGAGGTATTCTAAATTTTTTTATGTGTATCGGAGACACTGATAGCATCAATTTACACCATTCCAATTTTCAATCAGACATCTGTGGTTCCTGCAATTCCATTAAAACTAAGTGTTTAATGACGTCACTAATCCCAAAATATGCTTTATCACACGCAGGATTAGTTATGTTATCAAGCACTTAGTTTTAATGGAATTGCAGGAACCAAAGACGTCTGTTTGAAAATTGGAATGATGCAAATTAATACTATCAATGTCCCAAATACACATAAAAAATTTACAAAACCTTTTTATAATCCCTTTAAAATATAATCGCAAAGTTCGAATGTTTTCCCATCCAACATCACATGTCAAATCACTACTTTACAATCCTCTTTGAATCTCCTAATATATTAGCAAGAGCATTAGTTAGCATTGTTCCTAGTTTCCTGGAACAAAACCCGAATACATTAACTCAGAATAAACATCAGTAAGTTTAAGTCCTAAAGCTGTTTTCAACACAAACACTCTTTACTATCTTGCACAACACCTATTTACCATCCTAGAATATGAATTCTGCACTTTTTCTTCAGTTGTGATAAAATTTGACTGAACTGTTGGCAATCCCCACTGATAATATTATAAACGTAGAGATAATCCCATAGTTCCTTGTTATTTCAACGGAATTCCTTACATGATTTTAGTGCTTCCATATTGTACACGTTTTTACCAGATAAAAAACAAATGTCCTTTGACTTCATACATTCATTATTATATCTTCAGGGAATTCAGCGCTGTGGGTTAGAAACTCAGTGTGGTAGTCAGAAACATAACTTATTGTTGAAATTGCAGACTCCTTGCATTCCTTGTGCATTTGCAGTCTTTGGGATTATGTGATTTCTTTGGATTAACGGCTGAGTTGAAGAGTGATCCAGGTAATTGATGGAGCTAAATTAAATACCACATCCATGTAAATCTTAAAAACCTTTTTGTGTTTTTGATTTTTCTTCAAGCAAAGAATTCCATGTCAAACCGTCAAGCCAAATATTACACCTGACCTTCAAGCACTTTCTTAAGTTTATACAGGAGACATCCCAGACTGCCACCTGAATGACTGTTCCTATATTTAGCGCAAGATCACAAGAGAAGACAATTCCATTTCCAATGAAATATGATCCTAACTCAAACAGAGACCGTCTAGACCAAAATTCATAAAACTTAATATAATCAGATGAAAAAACCAAACATTTCCTACCACCCTTTAGTTGTAAAGGTCACAGCAATTTGTATCTGCAGTTAGATCTTTGAGTCACCTGTTTGTCACTTGAAATAGAAACACATGTGGTCAATTATTAACTCAAACTAGTGGAGACATGGTGAATTCTTTTTCCACTGCCCAGACATCCTGGTAGATAGTTCCAAAATTAAATACACATCTCCATAGACACTGTTTTTTAATTTTAACCTGTATTATGTTTCAGCCCTCAGCCCTGAAATCCCTGAGCTGTTAGAAATCCAAAAAGAGTGGGGTAATGCCACTGTTCTTGCATAACATTGCCAGTCTTCATTAGACCATAAAAGGTGCAGAAAAGTAGGATGTAAAACTCCATTCATTTCATTTCATTTATTTTTTATATATAAACCGCACAGGAAATTATGAATATTTTACTTAAAAAAAAATTTAGAATAAAAATTCCCCAACACTTAATCTAAGGTCATGATAAAATATGACAAAGGTCATTACATAACCATAGTTACATAACCATTATGGTGGAAATCTTCATCATAGGCATTTATAATCAGGAAACTCAAGAGAATTTTTTTCATTCCACGCATGACTAAAATTCATAATTTGACAAAAATAAAAAATCTGCAGAAGTCCTGAAGTCCTTTTGAATTCAATGTTTTGTTTATGTTTCGTATAATCTCAAAACAGTTAAAAGAAAAAAGAGTAGGCTTATGCTGCTGTCCTGGCAAAATTTCCCTCATTGCACACTGCAGGTGCAGAAAAGTAGGATGTAAAACTCCATTCATTTCATTTATGTTTCATATATTATAAATTGCAAAGAAAATTATGAAAACTAAAATTTACACAAAAAAACAACTCCATAATTGAATCTAATATCACTGTAATATATTTTTAAATGAGTTAACTCTTTATTATAATCAGGAAAATCAGAACAAATTGTTCTCATCTTTACGTTCCACATGACTAAAATTCATAAATCTTCAGAAGTTTTTTTAAATTCAATATCTAGTTGATCATTTCCTCTTTCAGTTGAAATCTAGTAGAGCAATTAACAGTCTAACGTTAGTAACGTTTTAAACAATCTATAATAATAAGATTTAATAATATAGAGTTTAGACTCTCTTGAAGATGGGCAGAAAGTTCTTACTTTCAGTTTTCATTTGGTAGGATATTTTGACACATTCAGGATAGTAACTAAAGTTATTTCAAAACTTCTAAAACTGCCTTACATTTGAAAGTTTGAAGCAGAAACCAATTTGGTTGGTGGTCAAAATGAAAATATTTTTGAGGCAAAACCTTAGCCAATCCATAAGATATAATGCAGGTGTATTGAAGCAACCTAGTTTTACATTAAGGCAACCTAGTTTTACATTTATACAACCTAGTTTTACATCAAGGCAACCTAGTTTTACATCAAGACAACCTAGTTTTACATTAAGGCAACCTAGTTTTATATAAAGACAACCTAGTTTTACATTAAGGCAACCTAGTTTTACATTAAGGTAAACTAGTTTTAGCTTTATATCAAGGCGATTTAGTTTTATATCATGGCAACCTAGTTTTACATGTATGACAACCTAGTTTTACATGTAGACAACCTAGTTTTACATGTAGACAACATAGTTGTACATTTAGACAACCTAGTTTTACATTTAGACAACCTAGTTTTACATTCGGACAATATAGTTTTACATTACGCCCAACCTAGTTTTACACAAAGACAACCTAGTTTTACATTCGGACAATATAGTTTTACATTACGCCAACCTAGTTTTACACAAAGACAACCTAGTTTTACATTCAGACAATATAGTTTTACATTCAGACAACCTAGTTTTACACAAAGACAACCTAGTTTTACATTAAGTTTTACATTAAGTTTTACAATATCTTGGCAGACTGAGAGAAAATCTGTGGTACAGATAGTCCTAGTTAGTATGGACCAGATGGTAGCTAGCTATCTCCCTCTTGATCACATACCTAACATTCTATAGATATATGTTAATTATACACCATCAGGTAAACTAGAACATACACCTAGTTTTTATCTTATGCACCATAGCAGGTACTCACTCTTCTTTTTGAAGATTTTAATTTTAACAAACATAAACTTCAATATTTTTGTTATATAAATTGTCAATATATATGCTTTTCGATGTTAACTGTTAACGTCATTTATGTTTTTTGCATAGGAAGGGAATGATTTGCTTAACATAAGAGCATTTGATTGGTTCAATACTGAATAGCCAAAAACAAGACATTCATAACAATTTCGTTAGATCATGGATGGCAAGTGGAGGCAAACACAAAAAAAACAGGTTTAATATGATCAGATTAAATATATTTTAGTCTGAGTTGATAAATTTAATGTTATTTTTTGTGGCAATTAGCTTAAAAGAAAATGAACTGGTGTGCTGATTTTGAATTGTCTTGATGTTCAGCTTAACTATACTTATTGGAGAATAGAGAGAACTGTTTAAAATAGAAGTATATACAGGTTATACACATTTTATTGTGCTGTAAAAAGTACAAGTTCGAACAAAATTATGTTCATTATTTCTGTATCAACCTGAACACAAAATGGTTTGCTTATGCTTTGTACCATTCCTGAATGTTAATATCATTTCTCAACGGACTACAGAAAACTGTTTAAAATGGCAGGTGTATATATATATACAGGTAATAAAAACTACCAGAATTAATGAAGCTGTCAGGAGATGTGCAACTCGACTTCATTTTCAATAAACCACCACCCTCAGGTAATAAACTGTACCTTGGCACCAACCTGCAAACCTTGCAGAATTAACTGTGTCTTGGCACCAGATCAAAACTTGCAGGGAAATCCAAGTCAGGTGAAACAGATGTAAACAGAGAGATGAGAATAAACATACTGAAACATGTGGTTTGTACAGTGAAATTGAAATCTTTTAATGTGTTTAGAAATATTTTTTGATGTAAGATTACTTTTCCACAGTTTTTTGAAGCAAACGTTTATAAAAATACAGAAATAATGAATTCAGAATGAAATAACAAAATTTTCTATATGACCAAAAAAGGGTAAGGGTCGTTGAAATCATAGACGTATAGACTGAAGGCTTGTTAGTGGAGCCGAAAATTTTGAAGGGTTGAGATGTTGGGCAAAGCATGAATCTGAGCACCCAAGGCGCTAGTCTGCCTGAGGTTTTTTTGGGTTGCTGCCCGAAAAGATTCTGTTTTGGGCCTCCCCCCCCTAAAGCCATCCTCTCCATCTCCAACATCTATGGTTGAAAGGTAACAAGTTACTATTTAACAGAAGACAGTGGCACAATGTTAAAGATTATGCTGCAAACTTTCAAGACAGATGTAAAAGAAACATTTTTGACAAAGTTTTCTGATAAAGATTTAGGACAGATGGAACAATGTCTTACAGTTCCTGTAGAATTCCTCCTTGGAGACAATATTAATTATCAGGAATCTCAAATTTTTTTTTCTCCAGAATAAAATTCCACCAATGCCAGATTCCCTGGGCTTTAATAGATGTCAGATTTTCTGTATGAGGTCAGATAAGGTCAATTACCATTCTCAGACAGAGAAATGGCTGTTATTTTGCAGGTGAAATCTGCGTTATTTCTGTAACAATGTGCTTAATTGCTTGAAATGATCAATAAGCAAGTTTTTTATTTGTTTGCAGACTGCATGAAGATTGTAAAAATTGACTGCCAGACCAATAATATGGGGGGAATGCTTTAAGCTCATCTAAACTGCAATGCATGGGCAAAGTACAAAAGTACAAAATTAAATGAGACCAAGAGCTAAACCAACGTTGACAAAATCAATGAAGTAGACATGAGTTTTGTAGATCATTCAAGATAGAAAAGAATGTTATACAGGGTATGCTTAATGTATGGTGCACCAAATTCAACTCTATGATTGTGTATGTAAACTCAGCTTCCCTTTTTACAGGCCAACATAGCAAACATATGGAGGTATGCAGGCCTTTTGAAGACTCCATACAGGTAACATCTTTGAAAACTCAGTCATAGAGTAGCACCAAGGTCTTCAGAAGAGTGAACTCTTCCTGCTTGCTACAGCCACATTACTCAAAGTGGATTTCAAATTCAGTAATATTTTGGACTTACAGTAATAGACCTTATTCACGCATCTGCCATAATGAATCCAGAACGAGGCTCATAAAGGAAACAAACGAAGGTAACGTGGCATCGCTGCATTAAAATCGCCACCTTGACGTCTTTAAAGCCTCCAGACCTAGTAACTCAAAACTAATTATATTTTCCAAAATTAAAATCAGAGTTGATTAAGCTAGTTAATGATACTTTCAGATGAATTTTACCCTCACACATTTCTGAGAAAGTGCAGTTTTAAGCCCATTTTCTCGTTTTTGAGCATTGTTCAGTGACATCACATAGGCTCTTCATTCATATAACGTCTCCATCTTATCAATGGATGACGTAATTTGTGTTATGAACCTTAATTTCAGTGTCTCAGTAACAAGGCGTGAATAAGGTCTATAAAATTATGTTACATGGTAGGTCATATTATCAATTGTTTTTACATACAATAGGTTTCATATGATATTAATACATAAATATAGGATAACGAAGGTAGAGTAAAACATAATTTATTCTGTCTGTTTGAGAAGACATCAACATTATAACAATGTTACTGTGACCTTTATAATCATTTATATTAACTTCAAGGTCATGTATAAATTGTTATGGCATGGACCATACTTCAGTCTTATTGTATATGATGTATAATAAACTATTTTTTGTTTACAATACTTTGGTTTCTTTTCATCACAGAAGATTACATAAAAAAAGTTGGCCATATTTGAAAAGTTTCTGCCTGCTTAACACTGCCACATCATCATATTTATCACTATGTTTTCATTGTATTTTTATCAAATATATATTTTAGAAACACTGATTTCATAGCTTTCTCCCAAAAAAAAAACTTTTTTTCTTTCAAATAATGAATTTTAGATTTGCTTTCAATTAACTTTAAGCCCAAATTAATACAAGTCCCCAAAAACCAGATAATGAATTATATATTAATAAATTTAAAGCCTGCAATGCATCATGAAATAACAAATTAAAATATCAATTCTAAGAACTACAAATTGAAATATCAAAACATCTAAGGAAATATATTGAGAGGAAACAAGATAAAGAAATACAATATCTTCTAATCAGCTGGTAAAACACATTAAAACTTATTTCAACCCACTGACAATCAGAGATGGTGGATAACATCACAGGCACCTGTTTTACAGTATCCATGGTTTACTGCAGGACATTTTGAACTGAAAGTCAGCTTAGCTTAAAAAAACTGACGGTAAAATAATGCCCTATATAAGTCATTTTGAAGCTCAAACAGACCTGACTGGAAGATCATCAAGAGAAACAAATGTGCAATAAACAGTTTCACCAAATCAGTGATTTAACCCTCCAATGTTAACATCAGGTTGACTAATTAATGATAAAGTTCAATAAAAAAAAACATAAAAATTCCTTCAAATAAAAATCAATTCAAGCTCATGTGTTGTTAAAAACTTCACAAAGATAAAAACAAAATTTGAAAAAATACAGCAATTTTTGGGGTTTGAAAGGACTAAACTGTAAAATCAATTTTAGTGATTGACAAATCAGTTGATAAACACAAGCATCTTACATTTTCTGAATGTAATTGTGGATCTCTATCAAAAATGACTGGTAATTATAACTACATCAACATCCCTGCAGGCACCTGTTTCAGTGAATCAATTATCTACTTCCATGCTCCATTAAAACTCAAGTTCTGGCAAGTATTTTAAGTGGACATTGAAAGCTATTACTGAAAATCTCTTAGCCATCACAGTTATTCCTTATCACAATATTTCTAAATTATAGTAACTGGGTCAGGTATATTTTGAAAAGTAGAAACATATCATATTGGATTAAAACTGACAGAGAAAAGGTATCAGGTATTTCAATTGTAATTCTTCAGAAGTTTAACCAAATTATCTTGTGAAAGTTCTGTCTGAAACTTGGTGTGCATTCATTCATTCAAGAGGTTTCATCTGTCTGTTGTAGAATTTGGGCAAAACTAGCAGTTTTAGGGTATTGATGTTGAGGTGGTACAGGTACCTGACAAAATCTTGGCCGCTTTACAAAGTTTTAGTTAAGATGCAGTCATCTGCTAATAACAGGTAATTTCAAATAAATATTAGAAACTGACTGGAACAATTACATCATCCAAAGTTATCTTTTGGTGAAACAGGCCTATGCCAATGATGACCTCTACAGCCAATAAAGTTAAAGACTAGCTGGAAGTGATGAGGGCTGGCAAGAGTCCAGTACAAACTAGTGAAGTGTCTCTCATGAATTGATGTTACAATCTTACAATCTGATACAAAATATCTATTACCTAAAACTTTTATGGTCTCCACACATTTCTACTTAACAGACTTTGATATATTTTACTCTACTGTTAGATAACAAACTATCTGGGACATAATTCTATACAATTCTGTCCATTCAGAGATATTCTCAAAGCAGTAACCTTAGTGAAATTCAATTTTTACATCATTGACAGGTATAACATGAGAGGACAGACCATCATAGGTGTCAATATTCTACTTTTGCGTTAATCCCTGTCGAAGATAACAATGGTGCACAAGGACATTGACCAGTTCTAAAAGTTAAACTTTGAAAGATTTGACAGAAAAGTCTGAATTATTTAATGTTTGCAGATTGCTTAATTTAGGAACTAAAGTGCTGAAGAATTTTACTGAATGCTGACTTCTTTCTTTCTGTGCTGAATAAAAAGTATATTTAAGTAAAGGGAAATAACACCATTCAGACTGCAGACAACAAAACCACAA